TCATCTTTGTGAAAAAGAGGAAATATGATATAGAAAGTTGAAAATAAATATTTCGTTGATGATTTATTACATTAATCTACAAAAAAAAAAATGCATATCCATGCACCAATTACACATGTATCCTAATTAGATCTATTACGAGTTATATTTGTATCTAAACGTACAAATATATATATATATATATATTTTTTTTTTTTATAAAGATTTTCTATTTAAATGCAAATGTAACTATTACAATGATATGATTATAAATCATATAGTTTGAGAGAGCTTTTTATGATAAATATAAAGATCACAATAGACTAGATTCTTAGAAGAGTTAGAGCAAATCCTAGAGAAAAACCTCTCTTGGAATTCCTAAAAAGATTGATCGTGGTCCCCTCGGCCACTACGTCCTCTTTTACCTCGTCCTCTTACTGTTGTCCATTGCATCTCTTGGATTTTTTGTGTAGGTTTGATCGACCTTCCGTCTCTAGTCTTTTGAGAAGCAACACCTATCTCATAACCTGAATAATCTCCTAAGTCTAAAGTAGCCAAGAGATTGCTACCAAAGACATTCTCGTGCACAATTCCATTAGTCAATGAACCTAATACAACGAGTTGAGAGCGTTACCAAGTTAGGAGGAATTGTTGATGTAGTGACTGTGACAATGGGAGAAGAGCTACATGCTACATTAGTGGTAGGTGTAAACTCAGTGGAGAAGGCCTTTGGCAAGGCCAATGTTTTTTGAGAAGAATTAGTGTTTTCTAACACAGTTGGAGATGACAAGCCATTGACATTAATAGTGGCAGTTGGGGTTGTTGGTTCAACATCAGTAAGAGGGACAGAGATTGCAGCCATAGTATCAACATGAGGAGAAACATGACAGCCATGAACAGAGGTTGGAGGAGCATGAACTGGAGAGCCACGAGCAAAGATTGGATATGTAGGAACAACAAGTTCATGTGAACCAATAGAGGTAGTCTTCGGTGTAGCACTTACAGTTCATTAAGTTGACGAAGAAGGAGGCACCTAGTTTTTTTATGGCCCAATTCTCCACATCTCTCACACTTTGGTGGAATCCAAGAGTACACAACTTCTACCATTGAAACGTTTCCATTTAAGTCTGCAGCTGCAATCCTTTGCGGAAAAGCCTTATCAAGTTCTACTTCCACCATTAGTTTTGCCTTACCTATTAGATTCGGGTCTAACCTTGGCTTATGAGTAAGAATTGGTTCCCCTAAACCTGAAGCTATCCAACTAATTCCCCATTTAGAGTAGAGACAAGTTGGTATATTTTTTAAAGTAACCCACACTGGAACTGTAGTTATCTCTGGCAAAGCTAAAGAAGCAGCAGGTGATGAAGACATCAATGCCACACTAATCGAACTAGTAGCACAAACAATCAACATACC